ACCTGGGCTCTGTGGTCCAGGAACCATGGATGTTGCCAGACCAGAGAGTCCTGGTTAAGGGAGGTACAACCTGTATTACATTTCCATTTTCTTTGGAAAAAAAATATGATACTGCTACTCAAGCCAAATTCACCCCATTGACTTCACTGAAATTACAGTAGGGATGAATTTTATCTCTAGGGATGAATACAGTAGGGAATACCTGGGCTCTGTGGTCCAGGAACCATGGATGTTGCCAGACCAGAGAGTCCTGGTTAAGGGAGGTACAACCTGTATTACATTTCCATTTTCTTTGGAAAAAAAATATGATACTGCTACTCAAGCCAAATTCACCCCATTGACTTCACTGAAATTACAGTAGGGATGAATTTTATCTCTAGGGATGAATACAGTAGGGAATTTTATCTTCCTCTCTCTCTTTCTGCTCCTTCCTCACTTTGATCTGATTAATAGAATCAAGATTTTTATATTTTCTTTAGTTTTCTGATAATTGTAAGGTAATATGGTGCTATGAAAGATGCTAGATTGACAGCTCTGTCACCTTAGAACTGATCTGGAGTGAATTCACTGTTTAGTTATGGTGCATGTTCAGTGCGGGCAGTGACAGTGTGTACACTCTATGCTGTCCCATCAATGTGCTTGGATTTAGTCCTGAGGGAAGATGAGAGCTTCGTTCAGACTCAGGGACCAAGAGGCCCTTCCTCTCTGCTAAGATTGCCAAAGAAAAGGTTTTGGAGCTGGATTAAAAGAAGGAATCACAATTCCCTGACTAGATTTTTCAGTATTAGTAGAATGCTTGTTGTATGCAAAGCACGGGACTCTTGTTTCCACAACAATTATTTCCTTGTCAAAAGGCAGATTAACAGCTATGTGTGATTCACCTTCCTAACCTAAACCGGTAACTACAAGTAAACCTTCTCTTTCTCTCTCAGAAATACCAGCCCACCCTTGCACTGGTATATCCTGTGCATATCCTCTTGGCCCCTAGTCTCCACCCATCTCTATTAAATTCTATTCTGCCTGACCTGTCACTTCTGAGTTTAGCTCCCTTTCCAAACCTTTCTTGGCATAAATATAAACTAAGGAAATTCAGGAGTCTTGGAAACCTTATGGTATGACTACTAGAAAATTCTCTTATTGGTTATAATGGTTTAATGCTGGTAGCAGTGTTTCTCTCCCACATGGACTGACACTATACTTAGAACCATTGGCTAAGGTGCCAGCGTGGGGCAGCCAGAGTGTCCCCTACATAATAATCCATATCACACGTATTCTCACAAGCAAAACCATCTGGGTGCATTAAGGCCTGCTGTTCGGCCTAAAGAATAGCTGAGTAACTCCATAGCTGCAGTGTTTGGAGGGAATATGATTCCAGACAGACTCCAGGAAGTCAACTGCTCCTCTTCATGGGTGGCCGATGAACAAAGCTCCTCAACAAAATAGCTTCTCCATCAAAATGTAGGCAGAAAATTCCTCTTACCGAGGTTAAAAAGTGAAGTGTGGAGGCTCAGTGCAATGTACAGAACAGCCACATGCAGTTTCATTCATGAGACCATAATAGATTTCTGTTTATTAACAACCTCTTGGTGGCCAACACGGCATTGCTATTACCCAGCAGTTGCTAATAAGCAGAAGGCTGGCTTGGGATGAAAGTGCTTTGATGTATTCTTCCTGGCTGCAGCCTTACAAACCTGACTGCACACAGGGCAGCACGGAGGGGGGGTGGAACCTGCTGCTGCTGTGCTCAGGTGCTTGGACTTTTTTGTAGTGAGTGGGGCCACTGGGGACCCATGGACTGCACTGAATATTGCCCTGTACTCTCCAGGGTTTGGGCCTTGCTTCCTTCCTTGTATGCAGCCCCGACCCACCCACCTCTGAAGCACATTGGAGTCTGGAGAATGCAGAGAGAGGGGAACCATACAGCTCTGACATGTGGGCTTCAGCCTCACCCCTTCCCTCTGGGTCTTCCCTGTGCTCAGACAGCTTGGCCAGGCTGCCTCCCCAGATGGAAGTGCCGGGATGGGCTCAGCACTGGCTGCAGGCAGGTTTGCGGCACTCCCACCAGGGAAGGCACATCCCAGCACTTCTTTCCCTGCCGGCAGCCTCACAAATCTGCCTGCAGCTGGAATCATTCTTTTAAAAAAACACACTAAGAAGTGGCATGCCATTGCCAATATCTGAATCCCATTACCATTGATATTAATGGGAGCGGACTGCAACTGGTGTGAATGTGACAGGGACTGGTCTGCCAACTTCTGTGCAAATCAGTCTTCTCAACCCTTATTAAGAGGGAAGCCAGCAGGGTATCAGGGCTATCTGAGGATGCATGCGGGTAGAACAATAAGGAAGAGTGGAAACTTGCTGATCCTCCACTGGTTTAAAGTTCTTGGGGGAACCTAATTTCAGAGGCATCTGTGACGCCTGCCTTTATGTAGCCCCAGTTTGCTCTCAGTTTGTTCCTTAGATCACCAGTGTCCCCTGTGTCCACACAGAGCTCAGATGTTGTTTAGAATCAGTGTCCCAGTGTTTACAGTAACATCATGCACTGTTCAGAGATCCCTGCCTATCCAGAATATATTGCACTGGATTTTAAAAGATTGTCCTAATGGTTAAATCACAGGCCTGACACTCCAGGTATTTTTACACTGCAGACAGACACCCACAGCTGGCCTGAGCCAACCAGCTCGGACGAAGGGAAGAAGGATGATCCAGGGAACTATAGGCCGGTCAGTCTTACCTCGGTTCCTGGAAAAATCATGGAAGGGATCCTTAAGGAGTCCATATTGAGGCACTTGGATGAGAGGAAAGTGATTAGGAATAGTCAGCATGGATTCACAAAGGGCAAGTCGTGCCTGACCAATCTGATTAGCTTCTATGATGAGGTAACTGGCTCGGTGGACATGGGGAAGTCAGTGGATGTTATATACCTTGACTTTAGCAAGGCTTTTGATACGGTCTCCCACAATATTCTTGCCAGCAAGTTAAGGGATTGTGGATTGGATAAATGGACGGTAAGATGGATAGAAAGATGACTAGAAGGCCGGGCCCAGCAGGTAGTGATCAATGGCTC